TGTTTTTCCTCTGTTTTTGCACTGCATTGTCATTCCAGTTTTTTCATTTCACCCTTATCTTAAGGTGATAATTCAGTGACTTACAAGGAGCAGAAGAAAAATAAACAAAAAAAATATATATAGGACTAGGAATAACAACAAAATGCTTTCAAAAACATACCTAATGAAATAGTAAAGTATTCCAAGAGTCAACAACTTGGGGTCAATTGAAATTAGGAAGATCTTGAAACTCTAGCTAGATTTGCTTAACTTAATTAAAGGCTAAAAAAGAAACATTAAACGTGAAGGCAGGTTCTTCACCACTGCTTAAAAAAAGTATCATCTTCGATACACCTATATTTGAACATGATTGCATAAATAAAATACCCACATTGATCCATCTCAATTGGAATGTCATTGTATAACTAATTCATTTTAAAATAGTTTAATGGTGAGTATGACTGATGTTTACTGAAAAACTAAAATTCTGTCTTAAAAAACAGAAAATTACATTAGGCCAATGTTTAATAATTATTAATGCTTAATAATTATTAAACATTATTTAATAATGTTTCTTATTAAATAAGAAACTATATGTTTCTTATTTAATACGAAACATATAGTTTCTCATTAAATAGATTTATTTTATTTATCATTTCCAGTAGATACTAATTGAAACCCTCCAAGACCAGGGCAGACACAAAAGACCATTTCTAAAATAGATGGTTGTTTCCACCAATTTAAAACAAACTGGTGGAAAGCTTAGCGGAAAGAAAATGCCTGGTCAAAAACAGCTGCATGGGTAATCGGGGTATCTGCACTCTTGAGAAAATTGTGAATCTAAGGACATGGACTGTTAACATTCCTTGTGCGAAGCATCAGCAGCATTCCATTTAGACATCAGAAGCATTCTATTCTCAATAAGAAAAGACTTGCACTGCTGCTCAGCATTTCATATACCTCTTTCCAGATGAAAGAAAGTTGGAAATCAAGGTTCCAGAATCTGAAGAAATGGCAGTGGCACCGAATCCAAGTTGCTTGAGGTCTGTGAAGTTTCCACGCTCAGTGAGGATTTGGAGAGAGACAGAACAGCAATCTATCAAAACATTTTTGAGCACTTCATACTTCCATGACGAGCTTTCTGAAAATGTTGATTTCTGTGCCACCAGTATTTGGCACAGGCCTATAATGCTAAAAATACCAGTATCTGCTTTAATGATCACAGTTTTATGTACTTTAATAGCCAGTGGACTTGTTTAACCAGAGCCTCTTAGAATTTATGGAGTATTGTCAAAAGGAGTACAGAAACAAGGCCAAACAATACAGATAAACTGAGAGCCGCTATTAGAGCAACCTGAGCTTCCTTCAAATCTCAGCAGAGCCAAGGCTGATCACTTCCATGCCATTCATGTAAAATGAGCCCTGACCAGTTGAGTTCATGTACTTCACAATCCATGGGATTTATAATTGGCTGACATTTTTGTACTATTCTTTTAAACTGGTCTCATGTCATTCTCTAATTTTCTGACACTGATTTTTTTTTATTTTTTTAACTGCTTTAAAAATAAGAAAATGTTTGAAGTACATTACTATATCAAATGAGTTTCATATTTTGAATTGCTTTACTAACGCATATTACATTTTGAAAGATTTTTCGATTTTTCTTTAAAGTCCACCTGCACCTAAATAACATTTATATAGCTACAAGTGGATAATTAATAAAAAAAATAATAATAAAAAAAACTCTAAACCTTACTTCTCAAAGTAAATCTCGCTATAACCCTCACTGGCCATAAGTAAAAAATATTCATCTTTCTAAATATTTGTTTTAACTTTGTTAAAGATCATTTGCACCAAATAGCTAAAAACAATACGAAACAATATTACTCAGACTAAATTAATTATAAAAATGTTGTTAATGACAGTTTAAAATTATAAATACAAAGTCCAGAAATTTGAGTGGACGCACGGTCCAGTGAGTTGATCCCATAAAAGGGGAGAAAAGGGCATAAGGCGTCGCCAGCACAATAACAGTACAAACAGAACTTGAAGTGTCTGACAGTCAGTTTAAACTGTGACTGAAGATGGTGTAGGTCCATTACACAGCATTATTAGCAAGCTGTCATGTCTTTATTTGCCTGTGGAAAGAAGACTACATTTTTAACTCAAATTGTAACCTTAATTCAGCTAATATGCAACGTCCCACATGCAGGTTGAGCACTAAAGAGAAACAATGTCAAAGAAAGAGGGATCTGAAAGCACAGGAGGGGAAAAGGGCTCAAGCATTTTATAGGCTAAAAGGCTTTCTGGCAGGAACTATGTAGTGTTTAGATTGGACCTATGGTACAACCAGTGTTCAAGGACAAGACAGGGTTTTCGGTGCTAAAACGTGTCACTGGTAGTCACTATAAGATATACTGATTCCAACAAATTCGAGTGAGAAAAAAATAAATAAAATAAAATTATTATATATATAGGGAAGAGTGTGTGACACAGAGTTGAGCTAAATTGCACAAACCAGACCTCTGCATTGAAAATAATGAGCACTTCTAGCCAAGAGTAAAACAACATATGATAAATACATTTTCTTCTTTGTTAAAATATTCTTGAATGGGACATTTTATGTTTTTATTTATTTACTCTGATAGGGTTTGGTTGGTCATAGTGAAGTAGTTTCAGATGATAATCTTTGGAGACAGTAACAGTTTACAAAATAATTTAAGTATTTGAGTGTTTTGGTAGCCGAGTTTAGCTTTTGCAATCAATTTGTTTGTAATAAATAGTATGTTACTATTGTTTGTAATCAATAGTAACATACAGTGAAATGTGGTTTTTGGAGTCATACATTGTTGAATAAGTTCATTGAAAAGCAGTGGCAAGTGTGTTACAACCAGTGCTTCAAGTAGAAAAGAAAAAGCGCTGGTACTCCGTTTAATGTTGTACAAAGAACATGGTATTTTTTCTTTATACATAGATCCAATACTTTTATTAGACAAAAATCACAAGGAATGAAAGAACAAAGGAAGTTCCAAAGCAAATCCTCAGGAGTCAAACAGATTTGCCCTGACAATCACACCAGCCCCTTAACAGAAACTGAATAAAATCAAAGATATTCTTTTTCCATTGCTCTCAGTAAAGAAAGAATATATCTTCATAAATATCTCAAGTTATGCTGTCAATACATGAGGATAGTTTTAACATTTTTTGCAAAAGAACATATTTTTTTTTAAATAAATGTTACACACTGGCATTTTAAGTAAATCTTCCTAAGTTACCAGAAAATAGATCAGGAGGAAAAAGTTACTATTTTCCCTTCCAGTTTCCGACATGTCATCACACACATTGTATAGTTTCCTCTGTTGCACCGCAAGTTGACGTTGCAGTAAACCTGCATGCACCAGCTGAGATCTGATGTAGATAAGCTACACTTTCCTCCAACTGATTATGAAATACATAGAGCTATTTGGAATCTCTCTTAAGCCTATGTTTTTTTTTTTCCTGACAGCCCTACTTATAAGGTCAGATTTAATGCTTTTCATTTGCCTGCTTTCCTATGTTGCAATTTTAATTCCCCATTCCCTTGGTGCTTACATCGCTGGCATTTTCACGATATTATTCTTTGGAGAAGTAGTGTGCGACTTCCTACCTGAAGAATTTCAACTGCTGCTGCATAAAGAGTGATTAGGATAGAAGAAATCTGAGTCATTTGGAAAATGAATGTAGACAACAGCAACAACTTAACAGAGTGAGGAATGTGTATGTCCATGATCTACTATAGACATTATTAGGGTCAGAATTTTGATGATGATTGTATTTGTCTCAATGAAGTCTCTAACAAGCCCTCTCTTCTTGTCGTACATTCTGCTGAGCATATTTGACCCCCAACTCTAACAGTTGCTCTAAAACCCTTCGTGCCCCCCCCCCCGTCTGTTTGTTCAAGCTCTCCTTCCTGTCAATCAAGGACCAAGGGTTCTTTTCCTGTTAGGTCCTCTCTGTCCTCTGCAGTGTTCACTAAGCAACTAGAGTGTGTCACACCCCGTCTGAAGCGATCTAATAACACCGACCTCTCTACCTCACCTCGCTTGTTTCTTTGCATCAGGGTCAGACATGATCCCTGGGCTCAAACAGCTGCACTGCCCCCCCCCCCATCCCCCCAAAGCCCACAAAGTGGCTCTTATACAGTATGTATAAAATACAGTCACAGTCAGAAGCTGTCAGGAATGAACCGTGAGGTCCATTGCAATTTAAGTTTCTTAGAGTCACTTGTCCAATTACAGTTTGGCTTTATTAAATTTATTCAAAATTGTCTGATGTTAAAGACTTCTTTCAGCTGTAGTTAGCCATAACATCAAAATCAAAAGGAAGTACCAACATTTTAATTTGTTGTGAAAGGGTGTTTTTTTCTCTCTCTCTTATCTATTCATCACAACATAGATAGAAAAACATGCCGTTTTCCTATCCAACAAAAGTGTGAAAAGTGTGACTTTTCACACTTTTGTGTGGAAAATGGTTGCAAGGTAACATTTACGCACCTAAAGTCCAAACAACCATGGCTTCAATTTTAAAGTCATGATTAAAGATTTAGCAAAGTACATTCAGACATGGACAATTGTGGAGTACTGCTTTTGGGAAAGCAATGGAAAGATGGCTCTGCCCTGGAGCACCTTTTTGAATCCTGTTGTGTATGCCTGAGAAATTGTGTGACATCAGTTTGTCCTGTGCAGTTCTGCACAATATTGTTGAGTTTCATTTGGAATTCAGTGGCTAGATAAGGAGCTATGGACAAAGCCTGACAGATGGAGACAGAACCTTATAAAGGCATTTCTCACACGTGACTTAGAAACTTATCTCATTTTATAATCTAAAAAAAAGTACATCTTTATTATCTCTTGTTAATTCTGGTCATAAATTCTTTAGTATGGCTTTTTTCGCCCCCCTGCTCTGAATAAATGTTCTCAACTGAAAGGTAGTATTGTTCAATGCTGCTGCTGAGAAAGAGTGTCACAGGAAGGTTGTCTCACCAGGTGCTCTCTCAACATGGCTTGGTGTAATGTCTTCCTAAATGAGATGAAGGGAGGGTTACCTCCCTCTGACTTGGCAGTCTGTCAGGCCCAGATATCGCAGTGGGAGGAAGCTTAGTGCCGTTGATTCTTGCTTCTTCTTCCTGACCTTGGTTTCTTCTGCATCACTCAACTCACCAGGGGTCTTGTCAGAGGCTGCATATGACATCAGCAGGACCAGACAGCCAAACATCTGAGAAACAATGATGACAATGTTTCTCAGATGTCAAAGAGTTGAGAGTAATTGATGTTTTGGAGGGATTTTTGGACAATAGCATTTGATTATTAGAAACTCAGACAATATATTTTGCTAATAATGCTAAATGTAATATTCTACTCACTATAAAGTTGGATATTATGAAATTGTTTGCTCTTTTTTTTCTTATCTTTTTTTTAAATTAAAGTAGGAAAAGGCAGATATTAAAGTTTCTTTTTTGCTGTTTCAGTTTGCCTTTAAATCGTTCACAGTCCTGTAAAAGAAGTATTTATCTCCTTGACAGTTTTTTGTCAGTTTATTCTTTTTGTCATAGCATTTGTTTCAAATGTGTTGAATATTTTAAAAGATGAATTAAGAAAACAGCTTTCAATTTTTCATTACAGATTGCATTTATTTCCTTCCATTTTTAAGTTAAAAATAAAAAATCAGAATCATACCAACCTGATGCCGCCGTGGCTAAAAGTAATGGTGCCTTCTCAATCACAGTGATTAACCATCTCAGGAGTGTCTGGCCTGTCAAAATTAATCCTGGAGTGCATTGGCAACTCTTTCAGGCATTCACAAAATAACTTTGTGACAGGGGAGCAGCCATGAGCTGGGACGTAGTCCCTCAGTAAAGGCCGTGCCGACATGCAAGCACACGCGTACATAACTTACTCTTTGTTACTTACTCACCAAAGTGACGTGGTTCGTAGTGGGTGCACACACGGTGTTCCTGTCTCAGTTGTCATATCTATCCTAGCTTGTAATTTTCAGTGTCAAAAAATTTCACCAGTTCAGATATTCAAACGAAGCTATTTCCGGGTTAAACGTCACGTGGTGACGCAATCATGACGTATTAATTGCGCGGTTTTTTTTTTTATTGAGTATTGTATTTTTTTTGTCACAGGTTTGTCTTTATTTTTTAAGTGTTATAAATATTGTATTTATTGTGCATAACTACTTGTATAATTGTTTATTTTTTGTTGTTGCCTTTTTGGGGGGGAGGGAAGGGAGGCTGTGTTGTCTTGCGGAGCCTGTGACCATAAAAACTGACTGCATCGGAGTCAGTTTGTATTGACTTCCAACAAGTCATGCTGAAGGTGATGGGCTTTTGAGTCGCTATGTAGGTACAGCTGTTTCTTTTTGTCTGTGTTTTTTTTTTTTTTTTTTAAGCCTGCCATTGTAAATATGTCACAGAGCTTCTCTAACTTTTTTCACCTTAAAGACCATCTGAAGTGAACTACGGAATCAGCCTATCATATTTGTCCAAGTCATAACAAAGCCTGCTACAGACTCCCCGCCAAAAAACATCGAAAGCAGTGTTTCTCAACCCTGGTCCTCAGGCCCCCCCCGTCCTGCATGTTTTAGGTATTTCCCTTCTGCCACACACCTGAATTGTATCTCTGGGGGATTAACATGCTTCTGCAGTATTTGATGGTCATGCAATCATTTGAATCAGCTGTTCTGGAAGAGAGGCACATCTAAAACATGCAGAGCAGTGGGGCGCGGAGGACCAGGGTTGAGAAACTCTGATCTAAAGTATGCTTAGCATTGCAGATCTCTCTCATCTAGTCATTGTTTACAATTTGGGTTTGGTGGATGCTAATGAAACAAACCTAAGCTCACCCACACATTACAGTGTACCAGGGAAGTATGTTTTTATAACTCCCCATATTATTACATTTCCCATAAACATGTTAAGACACAGCACTGTGGCAAGCTAAAACCAAGCAATAAAATGTCTTACCCTCCATGTGGAGGAAGTCAGTGACTGTCAGCCTGACAAAGCTATACACATTTGCATCAACAGAAATAAACCCTTGAAATATGTTGCTTTATGGGAGCATATTGGAGGCATGAGTTTGAAATTTTAACTGAAATAAACACACCAAGGTAAAAGCCTGCATTTACTACAAAGGTCTTGTATTGCTCAGCAATAGGTACATGTTGATGGTATGATACAACCCAACTTGTGAGTGTATCAGCCGTGGTTTTACATTACAGTTTATTTTGCAATATTGCAGCTTTCTTATAAAAACTCCTTCCCTCATGACTTTCTGGAATCATGCTGTCAAGGACACTTTAGGTGGGCCTTCTTTACTTTTCCATATGCCAGTACAATGTAAATATGCATATTTGCCTCCATATCCACCACTTTTTCTCTTTCAAAATATTTTTGTTTAAAACATTTATAACTGAAATTCCCAATAAACTATGTAAAACAGCATTCAGATCATAATTCAAATAGGACATATTTTATTTTAGTTTGTTTCTTAGCATTTTAATGTTGAACCTTATATTTTTGTTGTTTGGGTAATATAAAAGATTTCCAAGGTAAAATGACCCAAATGAGGTTTAAGAGCAAATCTACATTACTGGATTCAAATTAACAAAACACAAAACCAACCCGAAGTCCTGACAGTTGGTAAAAATTTCACATTGCAATTTTAATTAAAGAAAAAAAAAACACTAATACCATCAG